TACTCCTGTGCCATATATTTGGAACCCAAACAGACCTCCAAACCTGTCAATAAAGTACTGCAGATTGGAAATGGTCATGTGAACGGGGTTACACACATAGTTTTACAGTATGGTGTGGTAGGCAACCTTTGGATCATCATATCTTGATCCACTGTTTTCCCAGGTTGCCCAACCTACACATGACCAATAGGGGCAGAAGTTAGTCTCTATTTGGGCAATCAGGATCAGTAGATCTTATACTGGGACATAAGTATTTATCATTAAACCCATAAGTTCGTTCCCATTTAAGATTACCACATACATTCCAAAGTCTTCCACTACCCGAAATCGCCTTACATGCATCAAATAGTAGAATACCCGTGGAATGTATGGTGCTTATCACAGTCCTATTTATTAATGTCCTCTGGGAGTTACTATTCCGAATTACCAACCAAATTGTACGGGGTTGGAAATGGGGATCAAAACATTTAGACTCTCCTGATATTGGCTTGCACACACTATAATCAATATCCAAATATCTACATTTAGATACAGATCCCTTACATTCATACTGTGAGTGCTAGATGAGAGTTTGGGATATTTGGTTACCTGTTTTAGTAGTCTTAATGCAACTATCGCAATTCGGTATGTCTGTACTCCTACCTTCCTGAAAAATCATAAAAATACTAAGACACAATAAAACACATTATTCCTGAAATCCTCATTTTTCTTCAACCGTGCGATGGCCTCTCAGCTTCCCGATTGTGAGGGCTGCAAGGATGCTGTTCTTCTGATCCTCACTTTCCTTCACAGAGATCCCTTCAAGATACTCTGGCTATGACACGTAGGCAGGTGGTCAGGCTTTATTATGGCCGTCAAAACACCTACTTGATGATCTTTGTAGACTTTTAACTAGAATGTCTCGATATCCCCTCGTCACTCCGACTGAGTTGCACGCTTCAACCGGGTCCTGCAAGGATTCTCAGGATCTGGAGTAGCTTGCCAAGAGTCTTCTGCTGGTTTAACCTTAGAATGATGAATCCAAGGAGTCACTTCCGCCACCTTTACAGCTGTTGGGGTAGATAAAAGAACAACATACAAAGGCCAACAGGATACACCCCGAGCTTTAACTCAATATGTATTGGTGGGATATTACGAGCAAGTCCTGGAGGATTATTTTCTTCCCATACTCCTGGAATGTCAAGTAAGGATTCATCACTCTTAGGGTTAACACTTGTCACTATGGAATAGAAGCGCCATTCTTCTTCCCTTGGCACCGATATCACCATTATGCCTGGTAATCCCTTAAACTTCAGAGATGTTGATCCATTAGGTAAAAAGGTTATCTGGGCTTGAAGCTTCGATAATAGATCTCGTCCTAAAAGTTGAATCGGACACTCTGGCATATATAGGAACTAATGCTTCACCACATGGCCTCCCAGAATACAAGTGCGACTCTTAAGAACCGGTTTAGCTGCACTTCTCCCAGTAGCTCCTATCACAGTTATAGTCTTCCCCGAAGGCGGAGCCACCATCTTAGTCACCACAGAATGTTCAGCACCTGTGTCGATCATGAAAGAACTTCTTTCCCCCTATTGCTACATCGACCATAGGCTCCGCTCGACCAAGTGGGATGGAGCCCGGTCGGTATCAATAGTCTTCCATGATAGTGTCAGCCAGACCCACAAAATCTCTATCCTCTCTTTCTCTAGGTCTCTGCGTGGGTAGATAGTATCTGTCTCCTTGAACACTTCCTCTACTATTCCCACCATTCCCTCTAAAACTTCCTCTTACTCTATAACTACCACTATAACCTCCTCGTACCCTTCTCTCTCCTTGTCTATCACCTTCATACTGCTTTCTCTGTGGACACTCACTCTTCCAATGTCCCTCCTTTCTACAATACGCACATTAATTCCTACTTAAAGTCCCTTGCTCAGCCTATTCTCGTCTCCTCTATTCACTTCCCTGTCTTTCTACACTTAAGATAGCTACCGCTAGCATATCTGCCTTTTCCCTCATTTTACGTTCTTCCTCCGTCTCCCTATTCATATATACTGTATTTGCAATCTCCATTAGCTGTATTATGGACATCCCTACAAATCCCTCTAATTTCTGTAATTTCCTTTTAATATCACCTTGGGCCTGGCTGACAAATGCTGAGTCTATCATTCGGAAGTTTTCAGGATTGAAAGGAGTGTACAATCTATTTGACTCAAACAGTATCTAATATGGGACTTCGGCAAGGCTGCTCAATAATAGGTTCCAGTCTAGGAGTAGTAAGATAGGTGTAAGGGGGTGAGCTAATTTTATTAGTCGGTATTTGGTGGATGAAAAAACTTTTTTGTTTAAAGTGTTAAACCAAAAACCTACCAGTAGGTGTCACCAGAGGGTAATTGTATCAAAATAATCTTTATGGGTCTAATAAGAAAACTCAACTTTTAATATATTTATACATAAAATAAAACCTTATAGCAATAAATATATTAAAATAGGGTAAGCAATCCTACTTCTATCTGTTATAAACAATGTATTATCAATGTAACTCCCAAAGATGGCCCGTAGGTGGCTTAGAGTGCCTCCCTAAAGTCAAATGAAACAAATAGACTTTAATTAATTATGTCCTATTTTATTATTACTTATTTTAATCAATGTCCACCCTGATAGCTAGGCTTGAGTAAATCTTTAGTTCTAAGGTAAATTAAACATTTCAGTTTGTAGTTTAGTAAAAGGGGACATTTTGGACAAAGCTGGGAGGGGCCCATCCAGTAACTAAAAAAAGACCATATACCATCTGATACCATTGATCATTGATTAGGGGGAGGGGTAGTACAGAAATACAAGAGTTTGAAACACAGGAACAGATAGGTATGTGGGTAGGCGGGGACAGTAGAGCAGGGGGAGTGCAAATACTGACTATATACCAGTTTTTAGCTTGGGAAGAAGAATAGGGGCGTGGCTACTCTGGCTCTGGAGGATGTTTGGGGGGTTGGTAATCAGATGCCAGGGGGGAGGGGATGTCCAAAGCAGTTGTAATTAAGTCCTTAGTTCTGACCACCATATGGCTACATTGTTTCCCATATGACACAGTTTAACTCACCAAGGCAGTTTTTCAACAATCAGTTTCCAACAGTCAATATATAGAAACTGATCATAGAATTCCAGCCTACTAGTTACAGCCACATGTACACCCTGCACTAAATTTAAGTGAAGACTGCTACATGGAGGCCATGCAGCCACCAGGACAGGCTACTCCCTACTTTTTTTTTTTTTTTTTAAACATACAAGACAAAAGACTAACAGCCTAGTGAATCAGATTATTTCAACAGAACGTCTGATTCAAAAAGCTGTACAAATATACACACAGTTTCAACAGTCACACCAATCTCCTTATCACCAGCAACACATTGCGCAGTCACTAGGCCCAAACACACACACAGGATCCTCACATGCTCAACAATATCACGACGTCGCACACACGAAATTAAATCAAAAACCCACCAAAGACTATACACTTATCAATGTAACTATTATTCAAACCATACAACTATCCACGCTATTAATCCATATAAACTAACCGATCACATAACATTTCAACAAATTCATCTCTACAATTATCCGTACTATAAATCAACTTTTGACTAACCAACTATATCACATTCTAGTAACCTCATCTTTACAGTCAGTGGTTATGGTACAGTTAGTAAGTGGTTATAATACAGTTTTAAAGTCACAGATCAGTTAGTAACAGTTATGGTATTATACATATAACAAAAAACAGCAATTGTTAGTAATTTTTACACAATGTCAGTGGTTATGGTACATGTCAGTAGTTATGGTACCGTGCGCTATTTTACAGTTATACACACAATTTACACTCCCACTAGACAGCAGAGCTCTAACTTTCTAGTAGGACATACAAGTTAACCAATTCACCAACTACAATATATTTAACAACATTTACAATAATCCCAACTATTCTAACTGGCCAGCACCTCGAGAGCTTTCGATCTATTTATACACCAGAGATTCGATAAGTTCTTCGCTGCCCAGACACCACGTATAGCGAACTAGAGGGCAGAATTTACACAGTACCCAGCTAGTCTATTAAACTATCAATAAGCTAGTGGCTGGATTTACAACAGAGCACACTTAGTTAAGATAGGGTGAAATCTAGCAAACTATAATATACAACAGAGTATGCTACTCTCCCGGTCCCCCCGACCTAGCGAACAAAATTTACACCCTAGATACGCTAGTCAAGACAGGTCACCGGTGTCCGACATGAGCTATTTACACCAGAACTCAGTCTGACCCAAACCACCTATATTAAACGGGCTGACTACAGAGCGTCTAATTTCCAGATAAGTGTTGCGCTTTTCACTTCTTCCATCCATAAGGACAGGGCAGATTCCAATAACCGGTTCCAAATATAAAACCCCTTGTGGGTCTACCGCTCTAACGGTATCAATCTTACCTGTTAATTTCTGGACCTGGGTTCACTCATAGACGGAACAATCCGGGACTCACTGCGCAGAAGCCGATGATCTCCTGGACAAAAGGCCAGTGGCGCCGAGACGAAAGGAGGTCCACGCAGTAGAAGTCCAGGATTGTAGCGTAGAAGGTTTGGTAAAAGTTTACCGTCTCAAATCTCTGCGCCAGCTTCCATGCAAATGAGGTTCCCACTGCCAATGCACCAGAGATGTTGCAGTGTAAGCATGCAGAAGCCAAACACAGAAATATTGGACACAGGTCTTCAGGAAGTAACAGGCCTTTATTCACATTACCGATCGGGTCTCAGATGAACTCCTGTTCCAAAAGATCTGAGAGACCAACACATAGTGTACATTCCTTATATAGCACTATAACTCCTCCCATTAATAGCTACACCCACATATACCTTTAACCAATCAATGAGCAGAATATAGACTTGTACATCTAGTCAAACCACATGGCTCATCCAAGACAAAGGAAATAAGTGCAATTTCAGTTCCTGCATTCCTGCACATGCTCAGTACACTGATGACAGTATCCTAGCTACATGTAGCTAATCAACTGACACAACATACACATATGCCACATGGAGATTTTGGCCTACTAAATTTTAACCATGCTGGAATCCCATCACAGGAGTATTGGGCCATCAATATGTACACAGTACTTGGTTTGTGCTGTCCAAGTCTGGGAGATTGTCCGCTTCTCCTGCTAAGGCCACACACCAGGCTGCAGCCAGGAGGAGCTCCAGGATTGTTACTCTTGATCCATAAAATGCCCAACAGCGTCAACACACTGGCAGGTATCAGCTGATGTCGGTGTGGGACATAAAAAGGTAAATTAGCCGCTGTTAAGGTAAAAGGAGCCGAAGCAGTCCGTCCAGCTCTGCGGTCAGGCACTTCCCCTAGGAATAAAACATTTTAGTTATGAAGTAAGTTTAATAAATTTAAATCTGTTTATTTTAGAAAACCGGCACCTAGGAGGGGATATGATAGCATTGTACAAATTGTGATAAAGTGAATGGTGTGGCATATGAGGCTGTTTTTATTACCTCTCTCTTCTTCAGAGAGGCATATGCCATTTAACCCCAGGGGGAGTATGCGTTGTATGCAACACAAATTAATGTTTAGTTATGGGCCCCTGGAGTGGAGCATTTGGAGAGTAGGGCGGGCCGGTGCTCCACTCCTCAGTTTATATACAACTGAGAGAAATAGGGTCCAGGCCAGAGTTTTGGATTGTCCCCAACCCATTGTTCAGCTGCAGGTAATCAGCTGCAGTAGTGGGAATAAAACCTTCCCTGATAGGCAGGTAAAGAGGGATTTTTTGTTCTCCTTAGGAGGTTGGAAGCAGCAGGCTGACTGAGCACTGGGGTGCAGAGAGTTGCTAATAAACAAGGTTGATGAAACCGGTATTTTGTTTAAGCTTATTTCTCGCCAGAGAGGGAAATTGAATGTCAGTAAGCGCTCAGACAAGCTAGGATTTTGTTTGCAGGGCTTTGTTACATTATTATTTCTTTGGTGGTGTTCCTGATGCTGCCCCCTTGTGGATTTTCCAAATAAAGTGACTGAACTTATATTAAGACAAAAGACTGTGTGTCTTTGTACCCTAGAGGACCGTGCTAATTGCTATACAGGATCACAAAATATATTGGCAGTCAATACTAATCGTTGTCTGGAAATCTATTCAAAAATGGGTATATATATATATATATATATATATATATATATATATATATATTTCATTTAGATTGAAAGAAGGGAGATTTAGTCGGAAGCAAAGCAAAGGGTTTTTTACAGTAAGGACTAAAGTTGTTATGGTGCCAGGAGGCCCCTTGAGGAACTCTTACCTCAAGGGGGTAAACTAAAGGTACGTTTCTTTCCTAGCCAGTTTTGTTAATGGGGAGTCACTGACTGACTGAGAGCGTCAGCTGACAATCTGAGCCTATCCGCCGCAGCGAGCGCATTAGGCCATCCCCATAGAAAAGCATTAGCTCAATGCTTTGCTATGGTGATTCCACTGACACTGGACATTGTAATTTAGGTGACCTGAAGTCCGTTAACATCTAGGAACAGCCTCTAGCGTCTGTCTGATTAACAGCCATTAGATGCAGCCTTCGTCCTGCAAGGTAATTATTGTAGTTTCTCTAAAACTGCCATGTCTTACATTGCAGGACTAAGTGGGACAGGGACACTGCACCCAGATCACTTTAATTACCTTTCATTGGCTATTAGATGGGCTAATGCAGAATGAGGTCCTGGAATACTGGTGTTTTGGATGAATGTCTTGCTGCTGTGGGGTTCATGCAGAAAAACACTTGCAAGTTAGAACGAGACAGAGCACCAGGTGCTGTGTTATGGCAACCTGGAACGTGCACCCAGGCCAGGTAAAAGTGATTTGTTGCCGCAGTCATGTCAGTTTCCTGATCAGTCTCATTATAGTTAAAGAAGAGGACCTTCCTTTGTTATTTCACAACCAGCATGTTGTCAGAATAACATATGACAGATTTCCCTCGCCATAAAGACACCCAAGCCTGTGCACCTGCCACAATAAATAAAGAGCAGAGGGTTCGAGGGTAATCCTAACATCATTGTGTGCCATTGGTCTCTGAACTTAACCCAACTGTCCTCATATATCGCTGCAAATCCTGTGTGGGCTATGGTGTCAGTCCAAATAACAGGGAAATCGTCAGACAGTAGGGGAATAAACATGGCCTTTCCATTCCAGTGCCCCTTTCACAGCCCCTCTGCAGTGTTCATTTTGGCACCAAATTTCAATTCAGTTTTAGTTATAGTGTTTTGACTAAAAATCCATTTTACTCATCTTAGTTGTTTTAGTCAACTAAATCTTAAAAATGTTAGTAGACTAAAATTGTTAGTGAACAAAATTAACACTGATGTGTAGCAGTGAGTGTAAGTGTGCATACTGCGTTAGGGTGTAGTATTTTGTGTGTGTATACCAAATCTGATTGTGTGTTGGTGGCAGTGTGTCATTATGTGTATACTGTGTTTGATTGCAGGTGTAGTCCTACAGAGACATACAGACTGTGACGGACCGCCTGGCCTCCGTCAATCGATGGTCCTAGTGCTCACGAGGACGCAAAGCACTCCACTAGACACCATCAGCACTGTAGACCCCACAAACAGCCGCAGCTTGGTTGTGTTCTCACCCTGGACCCAAGACCAGGATCCAGCTTCCAGTGAGAGTGTAGCAGGCTGCTCTTTAAAGAGCAAGTGATTAGAAGCCAGGGGAGTATAATGAGTATAGCAATCCTCAGAGTGAATATAGCTGTCCCCTCCACACATGAGACAAGGCTCTATGTTGAGGGTGAAGAGGAACTGGTTTAATGGTAGCCACACTAGCCTTTTATGACAATCCCCATGCAAGGGGTACGCCCACATGGACCTTGTTGGGGACTCCAACACAAAGACACAGACCAATAAGAACAGTGATTGGGGGGCGGGGCCTGACCACTGAGTTGAGCAGTCGGAGGACAGAGCTACTCCTGCTCTAACTGACAAAACTATGATATATCAGCCAATAACGGCGTTTAACCGCCACCAAAGTGCCACTTACCGAGAGGTGAACCCAAGGGGCACCTGCAGACACCAAACAAGCAGCCCAACTAGCGAGACTCAATGAAGAGACACCTGCGGCCTACGAGCATGGGCGGCATGGGGAAGACGGCCGCTCCCCTGCAGCCTCCACAGCTAGAAACAGGTTCAAAAGCCTTCATTCCCCTCCTTCCCCCCCATGGACTGGCAGGGGTTATCCTGGTCCCAGGAGTATCACGGGATGGCTTGAACAAACCCCAAAATGGTGGCAAAAGAGACTGGAAAGCCCGACACATTACACAGTGATGACACTGTGGCACAGCTTACTGCCATCTTTGCAACTTTCTGGAGAAAACGCAACACATACCAAGCCATAACACGAGCCCCAGAAATGTATGTACCGCCACCACTACCCACACGCTCCTGCCATCAAGGCAACTCCTACAGAGGGAAGCGAGCATCGCAAACGTCGTTACCCACCAAGACAGATCACACCGAGACACCCTGCTGAGACCAGCTTCTCGTGCAAGTACAAGCCGACCATACACAAGCGCACGACCCAAAGAATGAGTGAAGCCAACTCTGAGAAGAGCAAGCTCCCCTTCAGGTACAGCCCTGGGACAAAGCCGAGAAGCACAAGGCAGGCCCCGAAACGTAGTCTCCACGGTGGTCATCCCGCAGAGTGCCTGCCCACACATGCACAGCTCGACTCGATACCAAAGCACGACCGGAGAACACCCTCGTGGCACATCAGAGTTGGTACCTTGCTGGGAAGCTCTCCACGCCTTTACGCCCAACGCACCTGGCAAGTACCCAGAGTCGGCATCAGATGATCAACGACAGATGGCTGACGGCATCCTGCGCTCCCGAGCATGACCCCCACCATGCCGGGCTAAGGACTGAACTGCCTTTACAAGCATGCTAACGGTACAGGGGGAAAGCTTACACCTACTACTCCTACTATGCCAGCGCCCATCCGGGTTGACAGAGCAGGACTTAAGTGTTTTTTGTTTTTTTTCTATTCCTGTTAATGCTGTGATATCCCCGTCTTGTAAGCAACATGTACATTTTCTTTTCTTTATTCTGTATCCCAACTCGCACGCCTTAATAAAAGAAAGATTAACAATTTCAAAAAAAATAAATAAAGGAATTAAGCCTTTTAACCAGTTACAAACAGAGTTTGGACTTAATAGTAAGGAGATCTTTACATATTTGAGAATCAAATTCTATCTGGGGAAATTTGTGGAATTTAAGGAAGATAAAAGTACTTATAATTTAAGAAATATTCTGGATAATCATAGATCGAAAGGACATATAACTAGATGTTATGAATTTCTAAAAAAGCTTCAGAGGAACTATGAGTGGAAATCTAAGACTAAGTGGGAAAAAGATCTTAATATAGAAATTACAGATTTAGATATGATAAGGGCTATAGTCAATGTGAATAAAACAGTACATTGCTTCAATATCGCAGATAATTTTTATAAGCTAATAAATAGATGGTATATGGTCCCAGAAAAACTGTATAAAATATATAAAGATCAGCAAAATAAATGTTGGAGATGTGAAACGGGGAAAGGAGATTATCTCCATATATGGTGGCAATGTAAACAGTTAAGAAAGGTATGGAAGAGCATTTATGATCAGATATATGCAATTATGTCAGGTAAATATACCTTTCACACCACATAGTTTATTATTGCATCAGGGATGGCCCATTATGAAAAAAGTATGTTGATAACACACATTTTGATGGGCCCCTGTCAGAAAAGCAGTGCTGGGAGGAAGTGAGTTTGTCACTTCCTCCCAGCTACAGAGAAAAAAAATTCTTGTACCAGTGCCCTTTCTACATTATGTCTGCCACTAACTGTGAGTATACGTATAACTCGATGGCAATGAAAAGGAAGTAGAAAAGTGAAGCAACTGGGCTGAGAGAATACCATTGTGTCAGGATTACAGAATGATCCAGCACGTAGAATTGTGTAACACAGAGGACTGATAGGTAACGTATACCGGACCTTAGAATTGCCGGACTAACGTACCAAAGAATAGTCAGGATTGGCCGGGGTCAAGTGAAACAGAAAGAGACACAACGATAAGGAAAAGCCAGGAGTCAGGGAAGTCAAAAACAATGCCAAAGTCAAATAACCAGAATAAATAACACGCTCTCGGACAACCACAAGGGAAACCACGACAGGGCACTGAGCAGGATGAGAACTGAGCCTAAATACCCCTCCTCTAGATCTGATAGGCTGTAACCAGCCTTTGACCCCAAAGGCAGTTACCAGGTTCCCATTTGCATAAGTGCTGCTCAGCATTAACCCTTCTGTGGATATGGTTGCTGCTCGGCACAACTTTTCATTTGTGGACAGTAAATGCCATTAACCACATTTTTATAAGCAGATGAATACGTGAGACATTGGCCCAAATGGTACTGGAGAGAGAAAAAAATAGAGATAAAAAGTAGGAGGCTGTGTATGGAAAGATCAGGAGAAATTAGTAATATGGTTAAAAGAACACTCTAAGAAACATAAGCACTACTGTGCCCTGTCGTGGTTATGTGGCCAGGAAAAACACCACCACCACCACAACGTTTATAAGGAATCAAATTGTTCTCACAGATTGATCTGGACTGTTTATTCTTTGTGTCATTTTGTCACAGTATCTTACATCACACATTTACATATTCCAGCCGCTGATGAGTCTTTTCTGACGCTGACCGATGCAAGCCAACAGCATTTTATAACATCGGATGCTCATGTTACTTTTTATGCAGACATGCCTGCGTCATTTTTGCGAACCTGCACACAGTTTGGCATCTTTAGAATGACACTGGTCTATCACAAGCCCTCTAGTTCTCTTTAAACGTATTCCACACACCGGATGGTGCCAGGATTATTTGCTACATAGGTGACGATGTGTTTTTCTGCCACCCCATTTCCACCAGTGTGTCTCTTAACCTCACTTTGAATTTCTTACCCGTGTAGTCCGTTGTTTTTTATCCCCTCTTTTGAATGTCAAAGGCAATATAACCAATATGGCAAATTTCAATGTATATAAACTGAAAGGGGGAATGTGCTATATTTGACCCTGTATGCTTCCAAAACCCCATAAAACTTGTACTTGTGAGACATTGCTGAACATAAATATGTGTGTTTTATCGCAGAAGCTGACAGTATTATAATATTCACAGTTAAAATGCCATGTAGAACTAAGAAAATAACAAAAGGGGGGGAGGGGGTGAGGGGGCTTGACCGCCATGCTAACCAGACGCATAGAGAGTAAGATCCTCATTTAATATCGACCAATTTCTTTAAATCAAGTAACCTAGGCTAAAATCTTATCTCCGATAGAGATCTAGTGATGTCCTGGAGCAACTGGGAGGTTTTGCTGGAGCACACTTGTTATTTCTGGCTGCGAAGCCCTGACTTCTCTGCATTGCAGGCTGGTGTGGGTGCGAGTCCTGTATCCCCCAATTTGGACCGGTGGTGGTTATACCGGTCCCTACCACTGTTAAACCTGATGCCTACCCACATCCTGACCTGAAGCATTACTCTATATTGCGAGGAACTGTAAATCCCGCAGAGTCACTCATCAGAGACCTAAATGCCAAGATGGCCGCAGATGAGGAGTCAATAGCTTCACAAGCCACTGCAACAAGGGCCTTCTATGAGGAGCAACTTGAAAGAGCCTTTTAGCGGCTGTGGACATAATTCTGGACAGAACTGAGCAATAAAGGAGAGAAATGTGTAGCAGCTGAAGATTTCTGGCCCATGCCCTCTGCCAGAGGCACCTGCTCCTATCAACACCCCATTGGTATCGCCAGTGAGGAAACGCAGAAAGGCAATGCGGCAGATGAAACAGAACTGCAGTCTCGGTTCTACAGCCAGCCACCACTCAACTAGGCCACAGTCCAGAAGGGGACACAACTCTAGGCACAGCTCACCCTCGGGAGCCTCATACGCTACACAAATTGCTGATTTCTGATAGAAGATCCCGAAACCTTGCAGGATGCAATCAGATCAGTGAGACAAGTGCCTCGTACTGTGTTAAAGTCTGGGGTTGATGGGGCATCGCTATGTGAAACTTGAGTTCCCTAACATATCAGGGTAGAATGTTCTGCTTGGTGGGCATAGGCTGAACTTGTCTGTCGGATGGATAGCCCTCCAAATCTAAATATAAAGGCCCTCATGGCCAGGGCTGGATTAACATAGGGGCTAATGGAGCTGCAGCTCCAGGCCCATGCCGTAGGCACATTGATTTAAAAAAAAAATATATTTTTTTTTTTCCACACTACTCTTAGGGTTGCCACCTGGCTGGTATTTTATGGCATTTGAGACTGCCTGGCCAGTACCAGTAATGTAGTAAAATTGGCAATACAAATACCGGTATATTTCTTAGTATAAATGGAGATTAATCTGCAATACCGGGGGAGCAGCTACACAGCACAGCAGCTCCCAACCTGCAGACACAGCCTACAGCTCAGGTAAGTGAGGGATAGGGGGGGAAGGCTGTAAGGAGACATGGGGACACACTGAGACACTTGGGAACACTGGGAGACATGGGGACACAGACACTTGGGGACACTGTGTCCCTCGTGTCTATGTCCCCATGTCTCCCAACGTCCCTAAGTGTTTCAGTGTCCCCATATCTCCCAGCCAGTGTCCCTAGTATCTGAATGTCCCCATGTCTCCCAGTGTCCCCTACCGTCCCAATGTCTCAAAGTGTCTCCCAGTATCCATGTGACATGGGAACACCGGGAGACTTAGGGCACTGAGACATTGTGATACATAGAGGACACTGTGATACATAGAGGACACAGACACAAGGGGACTCTGGGAGACATGAGGACACTGGAAGACTAAGAGACACTGGGATACTTAATGTCCCTAAGACACTGGGAGACAGGGAGGCACTAAGAGTAAGCGCAATCCATCTATTATTCAGCAGAATCAAACTGTATGTAGTTTTTGGGTGATTTTACAGAATTTTCTCTTATGTCACTCCTTGTGATTTACACTCATACATAATTGTGTAAATTAGTAAGGCCAGTATTGTTTTCCAAGAAAGGTGGCAACCCTAACTATCCTTCACATACTCTTGCTTAAGTATAGAAACTTAAGAGGGATGTATGGTAAAAATAATTGTGTGGACTGGCTGACAATGAAATTAGTTAAGGTAAAGCTGACTTTAAAGCAGCAAGAGCATTTGCATTGTGCACACTCTCTCTAACACCGTGGCATGTCACCTTTCTTCTACACTCACTACATACACATTTTCTCTGTCCCAGACTATATACCAGGAGCTTCTGCCTGCTAGTAAGAAGGTAAGGACACAAGTGGACATGTGAGTGCTAGGGGAAAGCCCTTAAAAAGCATGGAGCGAACACATCATTAGACACCTTTATGCCAAGCTCAGGGTGCTGTCTGCATAGTATGCCTTTAGTTGGCCAACTGCATGATTGGCAGGCAGCCTGACATGCATTCATGCTGGGCTGGCCTTCCAATTCTTTAGGCAGTCATGCCCCCTTTTTTGGGCATGTTCGCCCCTTTAAGCAGTTCTGATTACAAGATTCACGTCAGTGGCAACCCTTTTACATCGCCCATTGACTTCCTGCTTCACTGGACACTGCTGTTAGGGGGTATGGATTTACTTCAAAGATGAAAGCATAAATTAGAAAGATTAGCATAGAGTATGTGTTTTCTTATAGCTGCATCCTTTGAGTTTCCCTCCAACACCAACTCCATCAGATACATGACGCTTGGGAGGTATGACTGTTTTAGTGTTTTTGGTTGATAAGATTCTGTAATTAGGCCCATCATAATTGTCAGCACCAGGCCCACTAGGCTCTTAATCTGGCCCTGCTTATGGCTTATACTGGGCAGCAGTTTCTATTTTATTTTATAGTGTTGCAGTGCTTTGTTTTACTTTGATTGTGCGGAGGAATTGTTCTGGGTATTATGAGTGTTTGTTTCCACTCAGGCGACTGGTATCTCCCTCGTTGGTATGGTAAACTGGCATGATTCATTTTATTCTCTCTAACCTTTACCAACATACCTAGAATATATTCTAAACCTTGAAGTCTTGTTTTATCACCATGTTTAACTAGCTTGTTATCTATTTATATAAAATGAGGCAGTCTATCAAGGAATCTGTTTAGTATTAAACAACCATTTTACTATTTTGTATATTTCTGCTAAAACTCTCTTTTCTGTATTGTATCACATTTGGCCTCAATAAAAGAAAGATTGACAAAAAAAGAAAAGTAAAGAACATTTCTTAATTTCTCACACTTTTTAAAATTTATATATATATATATACACACACACACACACACACACACACACACACACACACACACATATATATATATATATATATATATATATAAAAATTAAAAAATATTTAGAATCCCAAGGTGGCAGTGCGACCCAAGTTACAATTATTAGATCATTGTGTCCATATTGCTTAGTATGGTCATTTTTAAGGAGTTTGGACGATCACTTTACGCTCTTTAGGAGGTTTCAGTTATACATTTACTCCCTTGTGGTTCGATCTTATTTGTTACTACACACACTATAAATAGCTTCTATTTTATTAGGGACTGTTATACATCACTATACATTAACAATAATCGATATGAGCATTTCAGAAAAATAGGGACGGTTGATATCCATGACTAAATAAAGAGGTAATATAGTCTACGTTATAAACAAGTGGTTAAGATTTTCTACTATTAAGGTCCCAGTACAATTAGAGAATAGCCTCATATCGACCTTCAAAGTAAGTACCGGTAGTATGAATACCTGTAAGTCCTTATTATAATTTGCACTCTCTCAGGTCCGAGGACATCTTTTAATAAGATTACAAACCATTCACTTACTCTAGAGCCTCCTCCCAGCTTATGTCATCTTTTATTATTTACGGACTAGGACTAGTCAAAACCCTTAGGGGTATAGCACATGGCTCTGGGTAAGTAGTAATTCTGTTCACTCAATATGAGACTCTATAGTCACGTAAATACTCCCATCCGTTATGTTATTTTATTGTATCTTTCTCTGATTAGGTCAGTCCCCCTATAACAACTATAAATGACTATTGAGTACATTGAAACCGCATGTGACTAAGTGTATGTGTTTGCTGAGAATATATTAGATATGATGCCTTATCCGTTAATTCTCACTATTAGACTTTTCATTATATAATAACGGTTACTTGTTATAGTAATTAGAACAGCTATAAACAGTTTAACCGAGCAGATATGTATCACTATTTTCTCATTAATAACCAGTTCGATCATATCTCAAAATTAGTAATGTATTCGGCACATAAAAAAGTAAAAGATATATAAAAATCATACAACAATAATTCATATCATCTGATATTGTAAATGAATAGGTATATTTAGTACATTGGGTATACGTACATTATTTATCAAAGGCACAGGTAAATTCAGTATAATAATCAGATACGTATTATTCTTTCATTTAGTAACATCAGACCAATTGTATTTCAAAATGCTTAAGACATAGGGTACACGCAAATGTAAGGGAAACATTTTAACTAATTACCAGCAATGAGATTGTAAGAGTATAAAAAACAGTTTTGGGACCTATTTCTATTGCGGAATACTTCATCTGAGAGCGATGTCTATATGAAGTATACGAAAGAGTTAATCGTCCGGATCTGCCGATAGGTCCTTCAGGAAACTGGCTTTGATTGGTGGGTTTAAACCTAATGAATACATGAACAAGCCCACTCATTTTGGCGCTAAAATAACGGACAGGATTAGACTTTTGATTGGCTCAGCAATTATTATACCGGTTTAACCATAGGATATAAAAACAAGACTCTCGGGAACTTTTCAACTCTAGCCCCTGACGAAGGTGCATGTCCTAAGCTCCGAAACGCGCGTCGGGTTCTCCTGTCACTTTTTCACTTATATTTTCGCACTGGGCACTTTACACTAAGGTCAGGCAACCAACATTCTAAGTATGGTTCTGCCCTTTAGCACTATTTAGTTCATCTTTCTTTTTTTCTTTTTCCTCTCTCTCAAGCTCCAATTTTGTATCTAGGAGTTTTGAATAGGTGTTACATTAGTATCTGAGTTTGTTTCCTAATTTGTTGTATGGATATGCCTTCTAAATAGATACTGTATACTTATTCCATCTAGATACTTTTTTCTACAGTTGACTTCATATATACTGGCAACACGAGCAGGCATCATAGTGTTTACACTGACAGTTAGACCTAATGGTCCTAATGGTCTCTCACTGTGTGGACTTCCAACTGCCAATACCTTAGTTGCCTAACTACTTTTAATTTTATGGTCACTTCAGTAGTATTTGGGATGCTCCCCATAACCGCTATTAACTTAGAATCATAGGAATTATGCAGACTGTGACACATTTTATTATTAATAAAGTCAGAGAGTCTTGCAATTTCAATTAATTACGGTGGATTTAAGAGAGGTTTAGCCGAAAGGCTTAGGTCTTTTTCACAACACTTTTGTAAGTCTCTAGGGTCTGGGTCTAATAGACCTTTCTATTTAGGCTTATTATAGTTATTACTTTTATAGGTCGTATGTCATTTATCTGTTCCAGTTTAAAACTCTTGTTGCTGAATGTTTTTTCAGTGAATTGAGTTTTTTTGTGTATATATATATATATATATATATATATATATATATACACACATATACACACATACATACACATACATATATAAAAAATTTGATATGAAATAAAAGCCATGTTTTTCTGAACAAAATTATATATAATAAGTGTGGGTGCACTTAATATGAACAAGGTAAGTTGTAGTTGAACAGACATTTAGTCAAATGCCAAGTTTTATTTCGATCAAAACATATACAATTGTCTCTGTCCTTAAGGAGTTATTAAGCCCCTAAAAAGTCAGCAGGCAAACAAATCCTTAAGTCTAATTACACCGAGCCCAGAATCTATTGAGAGGAAGGCAGATAAACTGTTTAGGTAAGCTATTAGAGGAGTTAAAATTCCTAAAGGGTGTGACACATGCATATTCACACTCATAATTAGACAGAGTAAAATATTATAATCTTTAAATATTCCCATTAGACCAAAGTCCTAATCCTTAACCTTAATTTGGAGCCCTCCCATTGAAATTGCTTTCTGGACTGTCAGATTGGGCACCTGTGTGATGGGTGGGAAGTTCAGCCAAGGATTCTAAACTCCTATCATACATTTGTGTGTGTTATCTGCATAGAATTATTTACTTATTTTCCAGGACTTCCAAAACCTGGTCCTTGAACCAAAATTTGCATCTTAAACAGTTTTAATAATGCTACAGCACATGTTTATTCCACTGATTAATCTTATTGAAAAGTACCCCAAAAATTAAACTATCATAATGAAAGATTTTATTTAAAAAAAACAAAAAAAAAAAGTATAGAATTTGCCTCCATCACAAACTTCATTGCATATCTCATCCCAACTACTTCAGCCACTAATTTGGAGTGTCATGTTTGCTTTCACAGCTTTATTTCACCCTGAAAATTCCTATTCAGTTTTGAAATCACTACAATTTGGACTTTAGTCTTATGCACACCTTTGACGTAGGAATTTATTGCAGTTTTATAGATGTAACTGTTTCCGATGCCTGATATAACATTCTGCCCAGCATTGTATATAATCTATATGGTGAACAAAATCAGTGAATTAATAGAACCTCAAAGAGACTGACTTGATTAATTTAGCTCCCTGCTGCACCTTATGAATACAGGTGGTGCTCATTTAGCGACCTACCTGTTTTACGTCGTGGGGATTCTCTGCTCTGGTGTGCATGTTTACATTCGGGGAAACTCGAGAGCAGTGAATCCCTCTAATCTATGTTGGGGGAAATTTCCCCAAGCATAGATTAGAGGGATTCCCTGCTCTGGTGCGTTAGTCTATATTCAGGGACGTTTCCCCGAACATAGACGAACGCACCAGAGCAGGGAATCCCTTAACTCCTCACTTACTGACCAATTCATTTTATGACCTGGTCGTAGGAACGGAACCTGGTCGGCAAGTGATGACTGTCTGTATTACAGATTACTTTTCTTGTGCTGCCTGTTTCTTTTTTAAAATGAGCTTTGCTGGAATTTAAATTTTTAGACTTGCTTTTCACTAAAGTAAGAATTCAAACTGAATTTCAAATTTAAAGCCAGAGAAGATGAATGGAAAGCATAGGTGATATAATTTTCCAGTTATTTTGGAGAAATTTTTTCAATTGAGCTATTCTGACCTTAAAATTGGAATTCCTCTAGATTGTAAACTCAGGAGCATGGTCCTCGTGTCCTTTTTGTTTCAGTGTCTAAATACATATTCCCTGTTTGTTTTATCACCAATGTTATTTTTTTGCTAAACAATTGTAAAGCAATGTGGATAAGAACATAATATAAGAATTGTATAAATTCACTTTGGATTCCTGACAATTCTAATTTTAATAAATAACCCTGAACATGCAGAAGCAGTGTGTGTCCAAGAAACCATAGTGGTTATTGGCAACCCTAACTATAGTAATCTTTTTTTTGTAATCCACATCAGCTTGTTGGAAGAAAGGGGGGGGAAAAGCCATAGAAAAACGACAAAGAATTTGCCTAGGCTAATGGTAGTTAAAGGACCACTATAGGCATCCAGACTACTTCAGCTTAATGAAGTGGTCTGGGTGCCAGGTCCAGATAGGTTTAACTCTTTTTGCTGTAAACATAGCAGTTTCAGAGAAACTGCTATGTTTACCTATGGGTTAATCCAGCCTCTAGTGGCTGTCTCATTGACAGTCGCTAGAGGTGCTTCCGCGCTTCTCACTGTGATTTTCACAGTGAGAAGACACCAGCGTCCATAGGAAAGCATTGAGAATGCTTTCCTATGGACTGACTGAATGCGTGCGTCTCTTGCCGCGCATGCGCATTCAGCCAGGGACGTCACAAGAGGGAGGAGAGTCCCAGCGCCGAGGGAGCCCGTCGCTGCAGAAAGGTGAGGGGCACGAGTTTGTTTTCCTGGCACTATAGTAGTCCTTTAAACAATACATTAAAGACTTAACTTTCAAGTATATATAAAAACAAGCACATACACTTAAAAAGAACTAAAAAATAAAGTGTATACTCTTTCCACCTAATTGTTATTTGCATGTATGCGTTTCTTTTTTGAAAAAAAATAAAAAAAAAATATATATATATATATATATATATATATATATATTAATAATTTATACATATTATTAAAAGTTAAGTTTAAATTTATTGTTCAACTCCTATTAGCCTGGGCAAATTCTTTGTCGTTTTCCTATATATTTATTCCTTAATGATATTTAGAGTTCCCACTCAGGTTTTCTTTTGGGAACAAAAAATGCTGTTATTTTAATTGCTTGTCTTTTGTTTACAAATCCCTGAGCACTGAATCTGTTAGGAATTAGCGCCAATATGAAACCACTACAGTTCTTAGAACGTTCTTAGACCTACTACTGCAAACAAACCCTAGCACTGAGCAGTACACCAACATCCATCATCAGCAGTGACCGTGACAGCTCTCCATTCTCTCTGCTGGGGTGCAGGCGGTGGGTGATGACGTCACACGCCGACGTGTAGGCTCCACGCAGTGTAGAACTCCCATGTTCCACGTAGTCTCAGGCTGTGTGTGAATGAATGGAGGGAGGGCAGGACTGGGTGGGACATAACAGGTTATTGCACATAGCCAGGCATGTCTGACTCCCTATACTTACTGACAGCGAATGTATAGCTCCTCCCAGCACATTATAAATCTAATAAGCCCAGTGTTCTTCTAAACTGGAAATCAGGAAGGAGAGGGGAGAACTGCTAACAAGGTGAGGGGATGGGGTGATTGGAGGGCTACATATTAAACAGATAAAAAGACAGTTCATCATTTTGTTACACTGTATGTTGAGACAGGCTAGTGAGACTAATACAGATACGTTCCCAGTGTAGCTAAAATAATATATAATACCATTCTCTGTCTTAGTACTATGCCAGGATCGAATAGGAAAAGTAGAAACAGACAAAAAGGAAGACAGGCACTCCAGGTGCTCTATCTAAAGCTCACTTTGGTCTCAATAATATCTAAATTCTTATATGGCACAGTTACAATGAGTGCATGGCAACGTTTCATGTGAAGCTTTTGGCTTGACAAAGTTAGCATGGTTTGAGACGTTGTCTGGACAACAGTGTGATGGGATTTTTTTATTTTTTTTTACTATGGATGTCAGACAGGCTCTCGGTACTTTACACAGGACTATATACATAATATGGTGGAACACTGTAATAAACAAAATTGCTCTTCAGCAATAACCAGGTTATTTACTAAATTTTTTGTGAATTAAATCTGCATCGGAATACTGAAGTAAAACTAAAGCTTTCATTTTGGCTTCTGGATATATTCTGAGTTTTGTGAGCAATGCTGTACGTGTTTTAAGTTAAATCTACTTTTTTACCCTGAATTATTGAGGGGACTACGCAGTAGGAACAGCGTGAAATAGGTAAATGAGCGAATACTTTACAGCGGAGAACACCTTTTATAATACAAATAAAGACTTGTTTTTAAAGGAAAGAAGGTAGAAAGAAAACTAATGCTTTTTGCGGTTTATTCACTATACTCTCTGAATTTTAGTGTATTCAAGCAGAACTGTCACTTCGCTAGAATTTACACCAGTGAATACAAGATTGAAAATCACCTATAACTTATGTTAATGTTTTTCATGTGATGCACTCTTTTCTTTTAATATTTTTGAATATTTTGCATGAATGATCCCGTAGTGTTAGGACTGGGTGACTCCTAAACGTACAAAATCAGGGTTTCGATGAAAAAAGTAATGCCTGGGTGATCCTAGTAATCCCACTATTAGGGACGATGAGCGTTGATTCACTTGTAAGCTATACTAAGAGGCCTTTCTCAAATAAGAGTTTCAACTTACTCCAGATTGACATTTATGCAACATATCTCCTGCAGCCCTGCCCTTTCCAGTCTGTGCACCTGCCTAACCCACCCTGGATTCATTGTACTTAATCAACTCTCTTTTGAAGTTAACATTTTATTTCATTATTTATTTTATTTTATATAATTTTTAACAGGAAGGTTTCATAATAAATTCTCATTTTTCAACTGAGGGTTATTCACTAAAGTGTGAATTTCAACTTTAAGTACAAAATAACTAAAGTGGAAAAATTCTATATAAGCCAACTCTGCTTTTTAGTTTGGCTACTGTGGCCTTAAAACTTAAATTCACTTTGAATTCTCAATTTAGTAAACCCTCTGTGTATAAATGGTTTGAGTTTGAATGCCTGTTTATTCAAGTACTTATTGATATTTTGCAAGAGATCGATGTTAATCTCTAAAGTGAGAATTCAAATTTTAAGCCCAAAATAGCTGAACTGGAAGCATAGCTGAATTAGAGAATTTTTATGGTTTGACCTTAAATTTAAAATTCACCTTGTATTCACTTGAATTCTCACTGTAGTGAAAAAGTGTTTGTAAGAGTATGAATGCAAATGGAACAAGGAAACCAATCTTAACATACCAGAAAAAGATAAGAAAAATATAGAAATTTCACTAAAGTGTAAATTGAAAAGGAATTGTACATTTTAAAATGGCTAAATTAAAAACCATTCTCTGTATCAATTTGACTATTATTGGCCAAGAATTTCAAATTCGCTTTGAATTCCTGACAATTACTTTAGTTTTTAAACTATATGGTATTTCTTTAAATATTTTCAAATTTTTTCTTACTGCCAACAAGCTGTCACAAATAAGATGACTATGAGGTAGAAAACCTCAACAAAATGTGGACATTTATTTAGTTGTTGTTTTTGGCATTTATATAGCGCCATGTTATTTCACAGTGCCTTACGATATTAAAAAGGGTAATATTTAACAATAAATGAGACAATTACAAAATGTTTCAGGAACAATAGGTTGATGAGGACCCAGTTCAAACAAGTTTACAATCTAGAGGCGGTGGATTATAAACACACAATAAGGGGATCGCAACTAAGCAACAAGGTGGGAATGTAGATGAAGGTCACCCTTTAAGATTGAATAAGATACATGTTTGTGAAATATAAGTTACTCTGGGAGGCCATAAGCTTTTCTGAAGAGGTGGGTTTTGAAGCACTTAAATGATTGAAGACTAGGGGAGAGTCTGTTACGGGTAGGCAGACTGTTCCAAAGGCAGGGCCGGATTAAGAGCACAGTGGGCCTGGTGCTGACAATTATGATGGGCCTAATTACAGAATCATATCGACCAAAAACATTAAAATAATCATACCTCCCAAGCGTCATGTATCTGATGGAGATGGTGCTGGAGGGAAACTCTTAGGATGCAGCTATAAGAAAACACATACCCTATGCTAATTTCTCTCTAATTTATGCTTTCATCTTTCAAGTAAATCCATAACCCCTAACAGCAGTGTCCAATGAAGCAGGAAGTCAATGGGCGGGGTAAAAGGGTGGGCCACTGGCGCGAATCACGTGACAAGACCTGCCAAAAGGGGCGTACATGCCCAAAAAGGGGGCATGTTTGTCCAAAGAATTGGAAGGTCAGCCTGGCATGAATGCATGTCAGACTGCCCGCCAATCCTGCAGGCTGTCCAACTAAGGGCATACTATGCAGGCAGCACCTTACGCTTTACATAAATGCATCTAATGATGCACTCACTCCATTCTTTCTAAGGACTGTCCCCTAGCACTCGCTGGTCCACTTGTCTCCTTACCTTCTTACTAGCAGGCAGAAGTTCCTGGTATAGTCTGAGACAGAGAAAAGGTGTCTGTAGTGAGTGTAGAAGAAAGGGGACATGCCACAGTGTTAGAGAGACCAACGTCTGCATTACCTAAACTAACTTTAATGTCAGCCAGTGCACACAAGTTTTGTTCCCATACATCCCTCTTAAGCTTCCAAACTTAAAGGGACACTATAGTCACCAGAACAACTACAGCTTATTGTATTTGTTCTGGTAAGTAGAATCATTCCATTCAGGCTTTTTGCAGTAAACACTGTCTTTTCAGAGAAAATAACTCCACTGGCCGCTCCTTAGATGGCTGCTAGAGGTGCTTCCTGGGGCAGCACTGCCTAGTGTGCAGCACTGCCATTCAGTGTCTCCACCCTCTGCATGCAGACACTGAACTTTCCTCATAAAGATGCATTGATTCAATTTATCTTTATGAGGAGATGCTGATTGGCCAGGGCTATGTTGGACTTGTGCTGGCTCTGCCCCTGATCTGCCTAGTTGACAGTCTCAGCGAATCCTATGGGGAAATATTGTAATTTGCTCAGACCACCACTTCCGAGCCAGCAGCTGCAGAATTGAATACAAGTAATATTTTACTATATTTAGGGAGGGAAGAAGGGGCCAGGGTGGTGGTTTTAACATAATGGGATAAGAAATACATGATGGTGTTCCTGACACTATAGTGCTCCTTTAAGCAAGAGTATGTGAAGAGTAGTTAAGGTTGCCACCTTTCTTGGAAAAAAATACCAGCCTTAATCATTTGTATAATTAATTAGTTATGACATCACATGATGTAAATCACAAGGAGTGACATCAGAGAAAATTCTGTAAAATCACCAACAAACTACTCACAGTTTGATTCTGCTGTATAGATGGATTGCTCCCAGTGTCTCCCTGTCTCCCAGTGTCTCAGTCTCACAAGTCACCCTGTGTCTCAGTGTCCCTATGTATCACAGTGTCAGTGTCCCCATGTCACCCAGTGTCCCAATGTCTCAGTGTGTCCCCATGTCACTAGGATACTGGGGACACTGAGAGACATGGGGACACTAAGAGACCCGGGAACACAGAGACATGGGGACACTGGGAAACATGGGGACACTGAGACATTTAGGGAATCTGGGAGAAATGGGGACACTGAGACACTAGGGACACAGACACTGGGAGACATGGGGACACTGAAACATTTGGGGACACTAAGACACTAGGGACACAGACATGGGAACACAGACACTGGGAGACTAGGGGGGAGACTAGGGGACACTGGCTGGGAGACAGACACTTGGGGACACTGGGAGACATGGGGACAGTTGTGGACATAGACATGTGGACACTGGGACATATAGGGACACTGGGAGACATGGGGACACCAGGCACACTGAGACACTAAGAACACAGACACTGGGAGGCATGGAGACACTGAAACATTTGGGAACACTAAGACACTAGGGACACAGACACTGGGAGACTAGGGGATACTGGGAGACTAGGGGATACTGGGAGACTAGGGGACACTGGCTGGGAGACAGATACTTGGGGAGACATGGGGACAGTTGTGGACACATGGGGACACTAGGCACACTGAGAGACATGGGACACAGACACTGGCAGACTTGGGGACACTGAGACACTAGGGACACTGGCTGGGGGACATAGTGTCTCCGTGTCCCAATGTCTCCCAATGTCCCTATGTCTCACAGCATCCCCATGTGTCTCAGCATCCCCATGTGTCCCCTAGTGTCTCAGTGTCCCCATGTTTTCCAGTGTCCCCAAGTGTCTGTGTCCCCAGGTCTCAGTGTCTGTGTCCCCATGTGTCCTAGTGTCTCAGTGTCCCCTAGTGTCTGTGTTCCCATGTGTCCCCTAGTGTCTGTGTCCCCATGTCCCCAAGTGTCTCAGTGTCCCCTAGTGTCCCCATGTTTTGAAGTGTCCACAAGTGTCTCAGTGTTCCCAGGTCTCCCAGTGTCTGTGTCCTAGTGTTTCAGTGTCCCCTAGTGTATGTGTCATCATGTGTCCCCTGGTGTCTGTGTCCCCTAGTGTCTCAGTGTCCCCATGTGTCCCTGCTGCCTTCCCCCCATCCCTCACTTACCTGAGCTGTACAGCTGCTGTCTGGACTCTCTGTGCTGTGTTGCTGCTCCCCCATGGATCAGTGAGTAGTAGAGAGAGGCAGGGATATTCTGTAACTTCCTATCCCTGCCTGTCCCCACACACAGTGACCCCTACTGGCCGGTGCTGGTATTGCAGAGTAATTTCCATTTATTCTGAGAAAATTACCTGCATTTGTATTGCTGGTATTACTGCAATACCGGCACGGCCAGGCAGCCTCAAATACCGCCTGTGCCATTAAAATACCAGTCAGGTGGCAAACCTAAGATTAGTGTGTAAAAAAAAAAAAAAATTTTTTTTTTTTTTTTAAATGGGCCTATTCCATGGGCCTGGGCCTGGAGCTGCAGCTCCATCAGCCCCTATGTTAATCCGGCCCTGTCCAAAGGAAAGGAACTACCTGCAAGAATGGCTGCATGCGTGAGTTAGCAGTAAGGGTGCGAGCAGCAGACAGGAGAAGGGTACCGACAGAGAAGGGGCATAACTTTGAATTAGTGAAAAAATATAAGTGGGGCTAGAGTTGTTTAGAGCTTTTATAGGTAAGGGTTAGTATTGTGAATTAACTCCTATAGGGTACAAGAAGCCAATGTAAGGATTAAAGGACCACTATAGGCACCCAGACCACTTCAGCTTAATGAAGTGGTCTGGGTGCCAGGTCCACCTAGGATTAGCCCTTTCTGCTGTAAACATAGCAGTTTCAGAGAAACTGCTATGTTTACATTAGGGTTAATCCAGCCTCTAGTGGCTGTCTCATTGACATCCGCCAGAGGTGCTTCCGCGCTTCTCACTGTGATTTTCACAGTGAGAAGACGCCAGCGTCCATAGGAAAGCATTGAGAATGCTTTCCTATGAGACTGGCTGAATGTGCGCGCGGCAACAATGCGTATTCAGTCGGTGACGTCCAAAGGAGGAGGAGAATTCCCAGCATCGAGGGAGCCCGGCGCTGGAAAAAGGTGTTTATCCCCTTCCTCTCCATCCAGCCCGGCGGGAGTGGGACCCTGAGGGTGGGGGCACCCTCATGGCACTATAGTGGTCCTTTAACAAAGCAATGAGAGGAGCAATAGGAGAGAATAATCAGCCTGGCGGCAGCATTCTAACAAAGCTGTAACATTTCTGGGGAGACCAATTAGGAGAGAATGAAAGTAATAAATGTAAGACCTTACTAGAGCATGAACAAGCTCCTTAGCAGCATCTTGTGTAAGAAAGGGACGGACTCCCAATAGTTGGAAATGAAAGACTGGTCAAGTGATGGCTTTTTAAGGACAGGTACGATAGTAGCATGTTTAAGAGGAGTGGGGACAATGTCAGAAGAAAGAGCGCAGTTAAGGATGGCACAAGACAAGGGAATAGAGATCTGATAAGGTGAGATGGGACGATATCAAGCGGACAAGTGGTGGGGCAAGAGAAAAGGGTACATCCAGCCATCTCCTGTTCTGTAGCAGGGAGAAGGCCTGAAGGGTAGGAGAGGAAGGCACAGTTCAAACATGGATGAGTGAGTAGCGAAGGAGGGGGGTTCTTTCCTTAACTGATGAATCTTGTCTGTAAGAGGGCAAGCAAATCTTTCGCTGAAAACTTACTTTGGGGGGGTAGCCACAATAGGGTGAAGAAGAGAGTTGAAGGTATGACAGACTCCTGAGATTGTGGGGGCATAAACCGATAAGAGAGAAAATGCATGATTGTTTAGCCAGGAAGAGGGCTGTGCTGTATAAATTTAGAATGGAGAAAGTCTGACAAGGTGCAAGTTAAACATGGATTATTATTGTTCCAGCAGCTATTCAATAAACTGGAAATTTTGAAAGTGAAATGCAAATTTCACACCAACATAGCCAAGCTGGCCCCAGCACTGGATACAAAGAGTTCTATGTACATTTACCCATCGCATTGACATTTGTAGCTATTACTGTGCACGACGGAATGAGGTTTACTGGAAAGTGTATATATAAATACAAAATGGATGTTTAAACTATAAATTTGCAAGCTGGACCATACTTGGATACAATTACCAGATATTTGCAGTATGCAATGATACACTTATTTTTTTTTTTAATTCTTTTATTTTGGTGTGCGCAGGAATACAAAAAGCTTGCAAATTCACAACAGGAGTCGCAAATGTGTCGGATTACAGCAGAGCGTAATAGACATTACATTCACAAATACTGCACATTTGATATTGTAGCATATAATGTTATGTGGCATTTTGAGAGTTCAGCACAATTTTATAGTGTAATAAAGTGGTCAAGCTAGGCAAACATGTCTATGCTCAGGAGTTAAACGAAATATTTAATATAATTAATTTAAGTATTTTAAAATTATAAATTTAGCTAGCTGGGGTGGGTGGAAGTTAGTGGGGAATTGGGGTATTTGGTGTTAACGTTAAAGTTTTAAAATAAGCTTTAAAAAGTTCAAAATTAAGTTAAAAAAAGTTTTAATAACGTTTAAGTAAAAAATAAAAAAACACCCTCCTTTAGCCAGTCCAAATAATAATTAACCCCTTCCCTACCAGTCGATCACTGCCTACAGTGATCAAAATACAGATCACAGTATTATACTGTGATCTAATTTTTTTTTTAACCCCTGAGGATTAACTTTTTTATTTATTTTTTTTAACCCTCAGGGGTTCAATTTATTTAATCCATCTCTCAAAATTCTACTGTGAATACTGAAAAGGACAGGTATCCTGTATGGCACTGTACCTTCACGAAATAGTGCCAAAGACATACAATGGGGGTGTCATTTTACTCAGCAGATGTAACTGAACACAAAATAAAACTTTGTACAGGAATATCACACACCAGCTTTACAAAATACACATGAGAATTTCTTTGTTATAAGTTTGTGTGCCAAAAACCAAAAAAACCCACAATTTTACTCCAATATTTAGCAGAGGGTGGCGGTGAAATGGCGACATGGAAAGTGTCAAAACAACCTTAGGTAAATAGCCCGTGATGTCTTCTTTATATAAATATATACTTTTGTGTGGCAATTTTGTTTTCTCATATGGCTATTAAGCTTACAAGACCAACATACCAAATTCTAAAATCGCTCCACATTAAAAGTTTATTTTACTCCTTCGGCTTTGTGACCTGTAACTACCAAAAAAAACTTAAAATCCCAGACACATTATATATTCTGTAAATCAGAACTAAATGAATTTATTTTTAATTATTTCCTTAACTTGCACTAATTGTGCACACATTATTATTGCAAAAACACTGTTTGTTTGATTCATTGAAATGTATGTTAGCCAAAAATCCAGACCTGCTATATTATCCACATCATGAACTGTGTCATTGTCACCTAATCAGTGATGCTATGGGAGTAAACTTAGCATTGTGTCATTCTCTTCATGTCCAAATTGGATAGTGTTAAATTTTCTATGAGTCCTATTTGAGGGTGTTCGTCCTAGGCACAAGGGTATACAAAATGACAGACTGCAGTGACAGATATTCGCTCTGTGAGAAGCAATACAAAAGGCACGGACATTGCATGGAATTATTATTATTATTATTATTATTATTATTATTATTATTACCACCTTCTAGCCACTTGTATGCCGTTAAAAGGCAAGTGACTAAGTCACACTGGTTGAAAAAGCATATTGGGGGAAGGGTAAGGGATGACCATGAAAAACAATAATAGAATAACGAGCACTCACCTAGCTGTAAACTTTAGCACGGTCCATGCAAGGGTGTATGGACAAAGGCTGTAGCTGGAGTGTTGGTCAGGATGAGTCACTGTTAAAGAGGATCTTCTTTTAGTGATACAAGGATTGTTGGAGATCTATCTGAAATTTCATTGAGTGACCAAAAGTATCACACATGAAGGAAAGAGTTGAAATCTCAAATGTGCTGCCTTGCCTTGATGCTTCCATGAATTTTAGTGCATATAAAATCTCATAGTAAATTATTTATTTTGTATAAATTTGCACACTGATATAGCATTGGTATTGGAATATATACTTATTGTGTGTGCACGCACCATCTAAAGAAGTTCTTTACATCAAAGAAAATGTGTGCTGGAGATGAGGAGGACATTGCTGTTTTATGTGCAATATGGGGCTATTAAAAGTGATCCATGGGGTGCCTGAAAGTGTTGTAAGAGGAAGTTGAACAGTCTGACTTTTTTTTTTTATCACAAACATAAGTGTTTGTGATGTTTCTGATTTGAAAACTGAAGAGTACCAGCTGGACATTTGGGGGGAAGGGAACTTTTTCAGTCTGTATTTTATGTTCTTCATTAAATGTACCCGGACATGTTTCCAAGCACCACAGTCACTCTCTTGCAGACCGCTCCTATTAATGTCTGGCTTCCTGGAAACACTGCTTCCTTTGTGTCATTTATGGCTCCGAGCCTTGGAGTTCAGGGCTGGTCTCACATTTCCAATAAATTCTGTTACGTGTTGACTATGCTTTATTCGCATTCATTCCAAGCAATAATATTTCATTTTTAAATATTTTTTTTTCCCCCTTGTTTCCAGGTCTATTTGACGATGGCTGAAAAGGTCCTAGTAACGGGTGGTGCAGGGTACATTGGGAGTCACTGTGTCCTGGAAATGCTGGAGGCTGGATACTATCCAATAGTAATCGATAACTTTCACAATGCAGTCAGGGGTGAGTGTGTGTGTGGTTTTTATTTATTTATTTTTTCCGCATTTAAATTTTTTTATATATCTATCCCAATAAGGTTAAGGAAAAATTGTGATTGACAACACCTTCCACCTGAGGTCTGTGGATAGTTAATACAATGTTAAAAATCTGCTCACCAGTCAAGCCATAAGACTTGTTTTTCCCACAGAAATCACAAATTTGCAGTGATGTTACTACCGCAAAGGATTCTGGGCATATCCAAATTCAACAAAGAATAACATTTTTGCCTCATTACATTTTTTTTTTTTAGACAGTACCCGTCTGTGTATTCTACTGCAATTCCTGCATCTCAAGCCTTGGTACATTAGTCATCATCAATGTTTTTTTTTCCTTTCTAATCAATCCACATATCTTATTATACTCTATAAAACATTGATTTACCAAGAGAGAAAAAACACATAAATAGACTACAAACCCAAAGATGGTGACAGTTCCCTCTCTAATAGTCCTCTATAATATTCCTATATTAATAATTGTTAGCTTTGTTGTTACTTTTACTTTAGTCTCCCTTTATTTCCTAATTTAAGCTGCTACAGCCATCTTATTTAGCCATTTATCTATATCAACAATCTTTTTTTTTTTCTTCAGATTTCTATTTACACCTCCTTCCATTTTTAATTGTAGGATTTGCTGTTTTTTTTACAATTTCCCAGTTTGGTAATATCTTAGTTCTCCATCTTCTAGATATTGAGATCTTTGCTGCTATTAGAGCATGGGTGAAGAAATATTGCAGATCCAAATTGTATTGGCTAAAGTTCAGGTGCAATATAAACATTTCAGGAGAGAAGGGGAATTTAGTTCCAGTTATTGCTTGAATTTTACTTAGAAACAATTTCCAAAATTTTTCCATCAGGGGACAGCTCCACCAAATGTGTACCGAATCTCCTACCTCTTTGTCACACCTCCAGCATATGTCTGATATGTTCTGATCTATTTTATTCAGGCGGCTAGGGACAAGATAGTCTGTTTATTATTATTATTTTAAAATGCAACTCCACTAAGTTTAAACATTTAATGTGTTTAGCAACTGTTAGCCATGCTTTTTTCCCATTTTTTTTAAAAAATTTTTTTAATCAAATTTTTTTTAATTTTCAAATCTTTCTCCCATTTCTCCGTGGCTGGGAATGTAAGATCTTCTTCCCCCTGTCTCAGTATCGAGTTGCACTTTTTTAGTAGATTTCTCATATCTTTTCCCCTTTATTAAGTTGCTTAATTTACACTTAACTTCCGATTTTTCTTTATCTAGTACTTTATTTAAGTAGCTTTTCATCCTTATATAATTGTGTTTTTCACTTTCTGGAAGAGCAAATTTTGTACATATTTGTTCATATGATTTGAGATTTGATCCTGTCATTAAATCTTCTATAGTTTGTACGCCTGCTTTGCTCCAATTCTTTAAATTTAGATCATCCATGTTATTTTCCAATATTAAGATCGGTAAAGTGTTGTTGATACGATTTTTGAGTCCCAGATTTTTCCTTATCTTACTCCATAATTCTCTAATATCTTGTAACACCATGCTTTCAGAACTTGGTTGACTATGATCAGTATTCCTTTTTTGAGTGAACCAAAAGAAAGTTAACAGATCTTTATTGTTTGACATTTCTTTTTCTACTGCATACCATCTTTCTAGTTTAGACTCTGTCTGTTGTGAAATAATACAGTGAAAAAGAATACTCGCTTGGTGATACTGTTGAATTATTGGAAGTCCTACTCCTCCATGGACTTGATTTATCGCTAAGGATTTTCTTGCCATTCTTGGTTTCTTTGCTTGCCATATGAATTTGGAGAAGGATTGTTGGATCATTAACGGCCAACTATCAGGTACTCTTAAAGGGATCATTCTAAACAAATACAACCACTTTGGTAGGATATAAGACTTAATTATATTTATACGGCCCCACCATGAAAATTCCAGAGCTCTCCAGTCTTTTAAGAGCTTATTCATTTTAAGAATTAATGGAAGAAAATTGATCTCAACTATTTTTTGTGGATCCGTACAAATATTTATTCCCAGATAATTAAATGATTTCTCAAACCAGACAAAATCAAACCTCTTAGCTCTTTCTTTTCTTCAATATTTACATTACTATCGAAGATAGTTGATTTGTCTGTATTTACTTTATAACCTGAAACCTGTGAGAATTTTTTTTATAATTGTCATAAGATGTGTTATTGATTGTAGAGGGTTTTCTATAGTTCTAATCACATCATCTGCGTATAAGTTTACTTTTATATTTTCTTTCTTATGGTCAAAACCTGAAATTTCCTCTTCTTGTCTAATGGCTAATGCCAGAGGTTCTAAAGATAGTATGTAAAGTAGCAGGGATAGGGGACACCCCTGTCTTGTTCCATTGGACAATGGAAACCACTCTGCTCTAAAGTCATTTCCCATAATTCTTGCTGTTGGTACAGTGTATAGAGCCGAGATATTCTCGAAGTCTTCCCTCCAGTCCAAATGCTTGTAGTGATTGCCTCATGAACTCCCAGTTGACCCTGTCGAATGCTTTCTCTGCATCCAATGACCGGGTCAACATGGGAGCTCCCGTCTTCCATACGGAGTTCAGAATGTCAACTAGTCTTCTGATATTATGTGTTGACGACCTACCTGGCACAAACCCAACTTGATATCTATTAATCACCTCTAGTATGATTTTTTATTTATTTTATTTTTTATTTTTTTTAAGCATTCTGCTATCATGGCCGAGTACAGTTTAATATTGGTATTTAAAAGAGAGAATGGACGATAGTTCTTAATTTTCTCTGTATCCTTTTCTTGCTTAGGGACTGGTACTATATTTGCTTGCAGCAATTCTGCCGGTATGCTATTAGGTGTTCCGAAAGAATTGAAGACTTCACTTAAATCCATTTTGATATTATCTCTTAGTAATTTTTAAAAGAGGTTGTCAAATCCATCTGGCCCTGGGGATTTATTCTTTTTTTAATTTGTTAATGCAAAAGATCAGTTCTTCTTCTTGAAATACTTTATTCAGCGCTTGTAATTGTGTATGCGTAAGTTTTGGACTATTAATGTTCCCAAGGAATTCACTGATATTCGCTTTTTTAATTGGATCCTGGATATTCTATAATTCCTGATAATAATTCTTGAAGGCTTCTGCTATTTTTTCCGGCCTCAGTAAAGTCTCCCCCTTATGGATGATTTTAGTAATGACTCTTTTCGATTTTTCTTTTTTCAGTCTATTCGTCATTAATGCTTCCGCTCTATTTCCGGTATAGTACCATTTCTGCTTAAAGTAGATCAGAGCTTTATTAGCCATTGCCATTAGATGTTCATTTATTAATTTTTCAATTTCTATCATTGAATTAGTGATACTACTCGATGGATTTTTTTTAATTTGGTTAAGTAAGTTATCTAACTTTATATACAGCTCTGCTAAATTCGCTTTTTTAAAATTTAATTTGCTTTCATTAGCTGATAAACTTATAAAAAGGCCTCTTATTACTGATTTATATGCACACTAGGTCATTGCTGGAGAGACTTCATTATTTCTATTTTCTTTAAAAAAATAATCTGTTATTTCTTTAATTTGTTTAAGATTGTCTTTATTTTTCAGTATCCAGTCTTTCATTCTCCAGTCTGATCTTGTTCTTTGATATTGTTCCTTTATATCTAAAATAACCGGATTATGATCTGACCAGGTAGTAGCTGTTATAAAAACCTTTTTAATTTGACTCACTAAGTTTCTGTCCCCCAGAATCAGATCAATTCTAGAATATGAACAGAAGGTTTTGGAGAAGCAAGAGAAATCTTTTTCTTTCATGTGGAATATCCTCCAATAATCCAGTAACTCAGCTTGTTTGATCAATTCTAAAAAAAATTTGGCATTCACCTTCAGGTTTTTATAATTACTGCCTTTTGTTTTAGAGCTCCTATCAAGCTCTACATCGAAAACACAGTTGAAGTCTCCCATAACGATAACTCGGCCCATTTTAACATGTTCAATTTTATTAAGCACTTTTTTAATAAATGTAATTTGTTATTGATTTGACGCGTATATCTTAACTAACGTATATTTTTGGTTATTAATTTCTGCTACCAAAATAATTTATCTGCCTTCTATATCTAATTCCTGATGTAAAATTTTTAAGGAAATACTTCTCGAGAACAAAAAGGCTACTCCTCTTTTCTTTTTTTTTGACTCATAGAGGCACTAATTATAGTAGGGAAAAACTTAGATTTAAGATTGTTTTTTTCTTGTACTTTCCAGTGGGTTTCTTGAAGAGCTGCTATCTGAATTTGTTCCTTTTTTAAAAATTCAAGGATTGTATATCTTTTAAATTGTGAATTAATCCCCTGTGCATTAATCGTTGCTAATCTCATATTATTTTATAAATCATATTTCCTTTAATTGCAGGACTAAACATTTAAGACACCACAAAATTGTACATATTCTGCCTTTTCTTAGGCCTAGACCTATGTATCTACTCCGTTGTCTTTCTCCCTTCCTGGATCTCCCATTGCCTCCAGGGGGGCCCAGACAAAAACAGCGAGAGAAAAACACAAAAAAACAAACAACGCTAACTCTCTACTCGGTGTCGTATATATCCCCATTCTCTAAACTCGCTAAAGGTTTCAATACCGAGATCTGTGAGCTAGACTACTCTCCTTGGCCAGGAGGATTGATAAGAAGGGAAAAAAATAATTAAAAAAATCTCTTTCCTATTTTCCCATTTTTTAAAAAAATTTTTTTTTTTTTACACCTCCCGACTTAAATGTTTAGTCATAGTCCCTCTTCCTTTCCTTATTTCTTTCACTTTCATAACCCTATATTATTAATTAATTTAGTGCTTATATACTTCTGACATAAAATTTATTTTGTGCCTATATCTTTCTGTTTGTGATTCTGATTATTAGTGCATATGTTTATTTTGTAAATAATTAATTATCGAAAGAGTGCAAAGTTAATATTAAGTCCAATTCTCTTCATTTCTGTTGTGATCTCTCCTTTCTTTTGTCTTTTTAGCCTTTCCTTTTCTCTTCACAAAAGTGTTAACTTACTAGTGCAATTCTAATGTTTCCCATCTGTATTTCATATAAAGTGTCTTATATAATCTTCTTACTTATTTTCTAATGTGCAATCTTAAAAAAATAAATAAAATAACCTGTAAATCATTCTTTTACTTATCTTATATTCCCTTCTTGTATCCATTGTTATAATTTCTGCGGTTTATCGAAGGTCAGCCTTTGATTATTATATGTTAGATTTATGCATGTCGGAAACCCCCATGCATATTTAATTTCATTTTTCCTGAGAGCCTCTGTCTGCCTGCTAAATAATTTCCTTTGGAGTCTCGTCTGGTATGAGAGATCTTGGAATATCTTGATTTGCTGATAAACTGACCCTTTTAGGTCTTTACTTGTCATGGCCTTCATAATTTGCATCTTAAATCGATATGATTGCAAGCAAATAATTGTATCTCTCTAGACTTGATCTGGTACATTGCTGGGCTTTTAAGTTCTATGACCTCTTTCCATACTGCTTGTTTCACTGCTTAAATTGATCACCAGAAACTTTAAAAAAACTCTTCACAGTAACCTTCCAAGTTAGTATTTACTACAGTCTCTGGAATCCCCCTAATTCTGAGGTTATTTCTTCTAGATCTATCTTCTAGATCTGTAATCTTCTCTTTCAGGCTTTCCAATTTTTCCTCTATTTTAATTATTTTGTCAGTGTTACATTTTTGTTGTATAATTATT